CAGGCGAGGCCGGCGGATAATTTAGGTTAAAACTTAGGGAGCCGTGTCACGGGGGTATAAATAAATAATCACGCGGGGACGGCGGCGAAAGGCCCCGCTCTCCTGGAGGGCTGTGCCGAGATTGCCACATAAATCACGGCGGTCTAATTCAGTGGAAGTTTAATAAACGCCTCCTATTGGAAATGAATGTTCCCCATTTAACAGTTGTATCAGCACCATATAAAACCATGACCCCAATAAATTTAATTTTAGAGGCCGATCAATCCGGGCTTCTCTCTATCGATCCGCAGCGGCTCTGCGCCTTTACAGCCTCCTCCGCGGCCCTTCCCGGGGAGGCGGGGGGCAGGAGCGTTTCGATTAGACTCTTTATTAGGAAAAGATTGCTCCGAGAGGCCTGAAAATTAAACGGTGACATTTTAATTACTGGACATTGACAAAGGGAGCGGGCGCCGGCTCTCTGCAGGCCAGGCACACTCCGCCTGACCCGCCGTGCCGAGCACCCGCGGAGGGCGGGCAGGGACACGGCGGGGGGGAGAAGGATGGGGCCCCCCGGGGCTCCTGCCGTGCGACCCCCGGGGAGAAGCGGGGCCCCCCCAGTGCACCCCGGAGCCCCTTCCCAGCTGGCCCCCGCACCCGGTACGACCCTACCGTGCACCCCGGCTCTCCCACCCTGTCCCCCCCTTCTGTGCGCTCCACCAGTCCCACTGTGCGACCCCAGTGCACCCCCAGTCCCCCCAGCACGCACCCTGGCCCTCCCCAGTGTGCACCCCTTGATGTGCCCCAGGTTCCCCACCTGCTGTCACCCTCTCCCCTGTCCCCCCCGTGGCACTGCTGCCCCTCACCTTCCTGGCCACCCAAGCCCTCCCCGCCAGCTCCACATCTGCCTCATTTCCCTCAGCCGGAGTGGCTGCGGGGCTGCAGAGGAACGCAACGTGCAGGGTCGATAGACACGACTTTATTGATTAGGTTAAACCAGCGCCTTCCCGGAGATGGAGCGGGATGAGCCGAGGGCAGCAATTAACTCTGCCTTGGCCCTGCCAGGCCGCGAGTGCCGGGGACAGCCGGGCACCGCGGCCCTCCGGCACCGAGCTGCACTCACCTGCTCGGTCTCTGCTGCGGAGAAGTTTTCCTCCTCCTACCTGTAAAAGCCCCAGACATCCATTTGCCATTAACCATCTCGCGGGCTGACCGGCTACTTATAAACCTTGAACTTTCACTGCAGGACTCGGCGGCGGGGGCCG